AAAATTTTCACCCGCTTTTACAGTTTCTAGTAAGAAAAAGCTAGGGCTACCATTTCTGCTAGTTGGTTTTAGTGAAAAGCATTCACAGCTTTTGCGGCCACCGTTTCAACTTTTCAAAGTCAACTGACTAGAATGAAAAATTCGATTTGTGAAACTGTTTTTTCATTTTGATTTTACTTGAAAAATTCTCACCCGCCTTTTCAGTTTCTTGTAGTTTACAGCTAGGGCTACCATTTCTGTTAGTTAGTTTTGGTAAAAAGTACTCACGGCTCTTGCGGCCACTGTTTCAACTTTTCAAGGTCAACTGACTAGTATGAAAGACTCGATTTTTGAAAATGTTTTTTCATTTTAGTTTTACTCAAAAATTTTCACCCGCTTTTACAGTTTCTAGTAAGAAAAAGCTAGGGCTATAATTGCTGCTAGTTGGTTTTGGTGAAAAGTACTTTCGGCCCTTGCGGCCACTGTTCCAAGTTAAAAAACTGAATCAATACTGCTGATAAAGTTTCATTTTCTTTATTGGTTTTTATATATGTAAAAATAACAGTTAATTTGTTGTGAAAGCAGAGAGAGCGTGAGCTGATAGAGAACTTTAATAAATTTGCACTAAAAAACCACTAACTCACTACAGTGAGATGTGCCACTCTAAATAGAGCGGGAGAACAATGCTTGACAGTTTAAAAATTATAAATAATTTTTACCTTTTAGGCCCTCTGCCAAAACCAAGAAGATCAAGTTTGCCACAAACATAGACCTCTCGGACGCAGAGGTGTGGCGGCGGCAGCTGGAGGAGCTCAAGAAGCTCCCGGCTTTCCTTCAAGTTGATTGCCCGGGCAGCAATCTCCTGAACCATGTGGGTCACCCCCTTCTGGGGGTGAACACAGTTCAGCTGTATATGAAAGTTCCTGGTTGTCGAACTCCTGGGCACCAGGAGAACAACAACTTTTGTTCGGTCAACATCAACATCGGTCCTGGAGACTGCGAATGGTTCGGTGTGGCTCCTGAATACTGGGGCGTCATTCACCGTCTTTGTGAAAAGTATGTTTTTAATTTGTTAAAGTTGAACAACGTTAATTTAATTTATTGCCTTGCACTTACAGAAACAACATCGACTACCTCAGCGGGTCATGGTGGCCGTTGCAAAAGGACCTCGAGGCCGAAAACATTCCTGTGTATAAGTTTATGCAGAAGCCGGGCGATATCGTTTGGGTTGGCGCAGGCACCGTCCACTGGGTTCAGGCCAGTGGGCAGTGTAATAACATTGCGTGGAACGTAGGACCGTTTACTGCCCAGCAGTATGAACTGGCCATCAGTCGATACGAATGGAACAAGCACGAGCACTACAAGTCAATAGTGCCTATGATTCACCTCACCTGGAACCTTGCTCAAAATATCCGAGTCTTTGATAGCGAACTCCTTGTTCTTATAAAGTAAGTGCTCAGTCTAGTCTTTTCCCTATCCATTCTTTACCCATTTTTCTTTTAGGGCGGTGCTCTGTCGATCACTCCGCCACTGTGATCAAGTGGCTAACTTGGTCTGCGCAACCGGCAGACAAGTTAAAAAATTTAACGCGGAGGAAGGACAGCTCACCCCATATTGCGAGGTGTGCGATGTAAGTAACTTGGCGTTTTTTGAATTAAGGGGGGATTGCACGCACATGCACGCTTTTGAGGTTTAAACGGTGGTAAATTTTTTAATGTCATCATTTTATCACCGTTTTCTATTATCATTTTCTAATTACCAGGTGGAATTATTTCACATTTTTTTTGCTCGAGAAAAAAACGCACAAGATCTCCTTTGCTTCCAGTGCGCCTCAAAGGAAAACCCTCTGTTGAGTGGTTTTGAGGTCCGACTGGAGCAGCTTCTCAGTAACCTGAAGGCCATTGTCAGTCGCATGTGCGATGATGATGAGGAGGAAGAAGATGATGAGGAGGAAGATGAAAAGGACGACGACGACTACGACGACGACAACAAGGAGAAGGAGAAGGAGAAGGACAAAGACAAGGACAAAGAGGAAGAGGAAGAGGAAGAGGAAGATGAAGAGGACGACGACGACTACGACGACGACAACAAGGAGAAGGAGAAGGAGAAGGACAAAGACAAGGACAAAGAGGAAGAGGAAGAGGAAGAGGAAGATGAAGAGGAAGATGAAGAGGACGACGACGACTACGACGACAACAAGGACAAGGACAAGGACAAGGACAAAGAAGAAGAGGAGGATGAGGAAGACGACGACAAGGACAGGGAAGAGGAGGAAGACATGGACGACGACGGCGACGACGAGGACAGGGAGGAAGAAATGATGGAGGTAGTCGGGGAGGAGGAGAAGAAGGATGATGATGAGGATGAAGAGGATGATGAAGAGGACGACGACAACAAGGGCAAGGGCAAGGGCAAGGACAAGGACAAAGACAAGGACAAGGACAAGGACAAGGACAAGGACAAGGACAAGGACAAGGACAAGGACAAGGACAAAGACAAGGACAAAGACAAGGAAGAGGACGACGACGACAAGGACAGAGAAGAGGAGGAAGACATGAACGACGACGGCGACGACGAGGACAGAGAGGAAGAAATGATGGAGGTCGTCGCGGAGGAGGAGAAGAAGGATGATGATGAGGATGATGAGAATGAAGAGGATGACGACGACGACGACGGCAACGACAATGATGATGATGAGGATGAAAAGGAGGAAGAAAATGAAGAAGATGACGACGACGACGACGACGGCAACGGCGACGACGACTACAACGACAACGGCGACGACAATGATGAGGATGAGGATGATGAGGATGAAGATGACTGCAAAGGCGCCCTTTGCCACCTGCCCACTCACGAGAACCCAGCTGAGCACAGCCTCCGCTACCACCAGGGTTTAAAAACCTTTGGCTGTGGCTTCGGTGAAGGGGCAGAGGTGTGCATGTTCAGGGGCCGGAAGCGGGGCAACATCATCGCCCACACCAGCATCCACCACCTGCAGAACACCAGCCGCCGTAGAAAACTGGTGGTGGACCTTTTTGCAGGGGATGACTGGCCGGCTGAAGAAGCAAAGCAGCGAAGGTGCCTCGCTGACCCTGCACTGCAGCGCCGGTACAAGCGGCGTAGCCGATTCTTTTGGTAACAGGATATCATTTTGTTGCTGCTGCTGCACTGCTTTTGGAGCGACAACTG